CAGATTCAGTTAGTATCAGCTTTGCTCCGTACACCGAAACTCTTGTCTAGACACCGGGCTTGGCACCCCACGACCCTTAAGGGTTTTGTCGTTGTTCCGCACGTACTGTGTGACTGCCTTAGATAAAACTTGTCAGTCAGGCTGAGATCGACTCATAGATGAGCTGTCTGAAGTTGTCTTGCTCGCGAATGTCCCGTTACGCACATCACGGGGGCCACCTTTATCTGTGAAATAAAAATGAGCTGGCGCGTCGGTGATGCGTGTTCTACCGACCAGTAGTTTCTGTCCTCCCCCCCTCTCGTCTCCGTCTGCCATCTTTTTATGCTCATATGTACCGCGCCACTAATGATAAACCTCAGAAGCTATGCTCACAGTTTCCTGATGTATTTCGAAACCACAGGTTTTCTACTAGGATAGAACTGAAGCCAATCGTGGACGCAAGCGATACCTTGAAACCCAGATTATGACTTAACTGAGCACTTGAACTCACCTTCCTTATAACCGCTAGGCGTCAGTGTCTGTGCCCATTGATGGCTAGCTGTTTTGTTAGACGTGGGACGCCCTAAAGCCCATAGCATTCCGGTGACATTCTTCATCTTTGGGCTTTGTCTTACTGACTCCCTGAAGTAACCTTCTCCTCTACCAGCGTATTCCACTATCTGCTTGTGTTGGCATTCAGTTCAAGTGAATGGACCTGAAGTGTGCTAACCATCGATGTCGCACTTCCTTTTCCTCTCAATAGATTTGACAATGCAAGGCAAAACAGATTGTCTGATGCCACTGATAAAGCCGGAGACCGGTGTTTGTCGTCAGCAGTCACAACCTCACTCCGGCGTTGGAATGGAGGACAACCTCGCTGCCAGTCAGCAGCTTCAGGGTCAAGTTCTGCAACAGCAGCAGCAACAACCGCAACATCCTCAGCAGCAACAGCACATAATTGTCCAGACCCAACAGAACCCACTACAACAACACACCGTTTTGCAACAAGGTGAGTTCCATTCGTTCACCTCCTCTTTGTCCCACTCGGTTGTCCAGGCAGGACAAGCAGTCTTGTGCGTACAAGGTTGTTCTGCTTTTTGTAACCTCCACCATACAAACTGGGCGCATTGGGGATGTTAGGCTTTCCGCCGGTAGCTATTTGGACCGGGCCCGAGTTTTGTGCGCTCCTCTTAATCTTTTGTTGAAATGATACTTGAAGGGCTCTGCTAGGACGACTGGACATGTCACTGTGCCCAGGCGGAATGATATTGTTCAGGCAAACCAAGGGCTCAGCGTTGGCCCTGTGGCCCTCGTTCTGCAGAACCGGCCTGTCATCTGACTCAACTTCGCTCAACGGCTTGCAGCCGGCTGACCACAAGAGAAGACGCATCGTGCTGCGGCCAATTGTGACTGGTCGACTCAATAATTATTAGGAGGTTTGGGAGATTTGTTGAATTTGAGTTGACCCAGTTGTGAAAAAAACTCGAGGTGTCCGGCGGGATTTGAACCCGCATAGTAGAGGAGGCCTTAACCGGAAGCCAACACTCTAACCACTGAGCTATAAACGCCCCACCTCGCGCCATGAATTTAATCACACTTGGGTCGA